GTCCGCGCTCTCACGACCAGCCCAGTTGTTATCCCTGTCCTCCCAAGCCAGACCCCCAAAACTGCTATGACCACCTCTAACTTTTCGACACCTTGCCTGCCCTTCCTTCCTTCTCCAGTCTCCTTAATGACCTCCTTTTTGTGTGTGCCCCCAGGTCTGGTCTTGGGATGAGGGCTTTCTGGCGGCGGGGTCGCAGGGTCGGTTCCTGGTGGAGACATTCCCAGCCCCGGAGGGCCGCGGGGGCCAGGGCCCAGCCCTGATCTCTGTGCTACACATTTCGGGGACCCTGGAATCGGACTTCAGCAGGGGTTTCAACTGCAGTGCCAGGAACCGGTTGGGTGAGGGAGGCGCCCGGGTCAGCCTGGGGCGTAGAGGTGAGATCCTGGGCCTGAAGCCTCCAAATCTGAGGATCCCAAACCCCCACACGCCACAGTCTCTAAATCAAAGACCTCCAAATGCAGACACCCTCAAATCTTGAAAGCCTCAAAACTATGAGTCCCTTGAATCCTGAGACCCTCAAAACAGTAAATTCCTTCAAATACGGAATTCTAAACTGAGAGACCCCCCCCCCACACTTAGGTGCCCCAAAGAAAGGAAGTTCCAAATATGGGGAATGGTAAAGTTAAAAACCCTTCAAACTCTAGGACTCCCTAGAGCCAGGGAGTTTAAACTTGTGGAACCTCAAATTCGTGCGCCTGTAAGCCTAAGGGACCTCAAGCTAAGGGACCTACAAACTTGGGTATCCCCAAACTTGGGGACTTTTTGAATCCAGAGACGCCAACGCAAGCAAGTCCTGAGTCCCTGTTCCCCAGTTCTTCCTGGGTCTCATGCTTACCCTCCTCAGAACATCCCCTCTCCTTCCTGTAGACTTGCTGCCCACAGTGCGGATTGTGGCTGCAGTGGCTGCTGCAGCCGTGACTCTTCTTATGGTCATCATTGGGGTGGCCCTCTGCTGCTGGCGCCATGGCAAGGGTCAGTGACTGAGCCCCACCTCAGCACCATCCCCCAGCCCCCTCCCCCCATTGACCTGGCTGAGACCCGCCCCAGTCTCACCTCTCTGGCCTCAGACTCACCTTCAGACCCTGGTTCCTCCCTCATGCCCTAAGTCCTTCTCCTCAGGGTCACACTCCTCCCCCTTGCAGGTTCTCATTGGTTCCCAGCCTCCTGACCCAACCCAGCCCTCTCTCTTCCTGTTCATTGGTCTCTGCAAACCATGACCCTGCCCCATCACTTATCTCTGCCTCCCACTGTCCCTGGCCTCAGCCTCTTTCTCCAAGCAAAAGAACCTGGTACGAATCCCAGGCAGCAGTGATGGCTCCAGTTCAAGAGGCCCTGAAGAGGAGGAGACTGGCAGTGGCGAGGACCGGGTAGGATGCAGGGTCCCCAGACAAGACAGCCTCTAGAACAACTAGTAACCCAGTCCCAACTGTTCTCCCAGTCCCCACTGAGCCCCCAAATTCAAAGGCGGTCCACACCCTAATAAGTAATCCCAGGCTAACATGTCCCCCAAGTCCAAATATGCTCCTGACCCAGTTATCCCCTAGACCAAATATGTCCCCAGGGCCCTTTGTTGTCTTGAGTCTAGACCCCAGCTCCAGGTGCTCTTGGTCCCTCCTGCCTGGCCTCCACTGTCCAACTGAGGGTTGTTAAGGTCTGGCGCTGGACCAGGAGGATCCTCTGAGTGGCCCCTCTCACTAAGCACCCTATCCCAGGGCCCCATCATGCAAACGGATCACAGTGACCTGGTTCTGGATGAGGAAGGGGCTCTGGAGACCAAGGTAAGTGTTGGGAAGGGATGGTTTCCTTTCACTGAGTCTCCAGCTCTCTCCCTGCTTGGTCCCCTCCTTTTTCACTCTCTTGCCCCCAGAGCTAGGACCTAGCCCCCTCCACACTTTCCTCCTGCCTCCTGGGCCACTTCACCCACCTCCAGGTCCTGTTTGCACAGCTGCTGATAATGCCCACAAATGTGTCCCAGCCTTGGCCTCCCTCTCGGAGCCCCACATCAGGGCTCACTCTGCCTGTGCTTTCCCATCACAGTCCTGCCTCCGGTCTCCTGGATGCCTCTGCCAGGCGCCTTCCTACCTACCAGCTCCCTCACTGGCCTCACTTCTCCCCAAACCGGCCCTTCCTTTGAAGTCCCCTCTCTTGGCCTCCACTGACCTCAGTCCCTAGCCCAGAGCCCTTCTCTGTCCCCTCTGTACCTAGCACATGCTATTCTATTGGCCTGAAACACCACTTTCCTTCCCATACTACCTAATTCTGCCCTTCATTCCTCTGGTCTCAGCTCACACATTTCTTGTTCTAGAAAGTCCATGCTTCCCTACTCACAGCCCTGATCATTCTGTCTGTGTTCCACCTGCCACAACTAGGACCACTCTGCCCTGGATTCCCATCCCAGCCCTGAAATCCTGTTTGTGCTTCCCCATCAGGCCTTCTCACTCTGCCTGTATTTCCCTCATCACTAGCCTGACCCCCCTGGACTCTGGTGATTTGCCATTTCCTCTTTGGCCTGGGATCTCCATGTAGGCAGGGCCCAGTCTCTCCCCTTGATAGACATGTCCAGCAGCAGCATAAGACATGACACAGAATCAAAGCCTTGGGGCCGGTGGGCAGATGAATGAATGAATGTCTTGGTCTCAACCCCTCTGTTCCCACTGCATCTCCTTCCAAACCACCAGCCCTCAGCAAGCCTATACTCCTCTGTCGCTGCCTTTCTCTGCCCATTTCCGTCTGTCCTTTTATCTCTTGTCTCTGTTTTCCTGTCCCAATTTGTCTTCCTATCAGTCTGTATGTCTATCTCTCTGACTCTGGGTCTCTGTTTGCTCTTGCTTCTGTCTTTTTGTCTCTCTCTAGGTCTGGCTCTAAGTGTATCTCTCCATTAGTGACCCTCACCCCATCTTATATCCTCACATACATTAACAAATCCCATTTGTCCCTCAGGACCCAACCAATGGTTACTACAAGGTCCGAGGAGTCAGTGTGAGCCTGAGCCTTGGTGAAGGCCCTGGAGGCGGCCTCTTCTTGCCGCCCCCCTCCCCCCTTGGACCTCCAGGGACCCCTACCTTCTATGACTTCAACCCACACCTAGGCATGGTCCCACCCTGCAGACTGTATAGAGCTCGGGCAGGTTATCTCACCACACCCCATCCTCGAGCTTTTACCAGCTACATCAAACCTACATCCATTGGACCCCCAGATCTGACCCCCAGGACTCCACCCTTCCCATACGCTGCCTTCCCCACACCCAGCCACCCACGTCTCCAAACTCATGTGTGACACCTCTCCAAGTGAAGAGTCCTGGGATCTTCAACTTGCCATAATGGATTGTCCTGATTTCTGAGGAACCAGAACAAGATGGTGACCTTACTCCTCCAAAATTGAACACTGATGGGAGAGAAAGATCATTACAATTGTCTGGATTACTGGTGTACAGTCAGCTCAGTCAAAGGGGACTGAGGTCCCCAAGTGGGAGCAAGATGGCCACTATGACCGACTATTCCCTTGTGTAAAAGAGATTCAAGATGGCAGATGGGCTCTTTGTAGATGGACGGGGACAGGGGGTGATGGGATGGAAGGCAGGGATGGAAATTGTTTCCAGGTGTGGAAAGAAGAGATTTCAAGATGACCACCTATACTGAGAAAAAGGCAACGTAGGTTAAGATGGAGGCCAGACCAGGCCCTGTCCTGGTTCTCCCTGAGGGACCCTTTGCTTGGCCAATTCAAGTGCAGCCAATATGGCTAATTACTCTCTGGGAACCCCAGATGGCCACCATCTCGATTCCTTTCAACTTCCTTAAGGGCCCTGGATGAACTGAATCCAAGGAATGAGGATAGGGTGAGAACCATCATGGGGAGAGGAGAGTAGTATGGGATGGGTGGGGTGGAATCTTGGAATGAGAATATTTATGTTTAATAATAAAAAAAAAGTCAATAAGTGAATGCGTCTTGGAGATCCTCCTGGCATTATTACCCTCCATCAAGGAAGGGGTCCATTAAATCAGCCCTAAGACCCTTCCTCTACCCTATTCTCTACCCTAGGCGATGAAGTGGCTGTAGGAACAAAACCTTGAGCCACCTCCCAGCCTTTTGCTACCCATTTAGCACTCCAGGCTCTTTTAACATACATCTACACAAACACACATGCACAGATGCACATACACGATAGTGCTGCCCCAGTTGGCTTGCAGAAAACAGAATTCTACAGTTATTTAAGGAGACAAAGCAGTGAGCCCTGAAGAGTAGGCAGGGTGGGAGAGGCTAGGGGTGAGAAAATAGAAATGCCATGGTCCTTAAAGCAAGGATAGGGTTGAGGCCCTTGTCCTGAGGTGCTGGGTACCTGACTCAGGTCATCCTTAAAGAAAGGACCTACGGGCTTTGGTTTTATGCATCCTTGAGCTAGGAATTAAAGGTCCAGACACCTGGGATCCTTGGAAAGCAGAGCAGAAGGCCAAGACCCCAAGAGAAAGGGTGGGGGCTTTTTCTCTGGTCCTGAAAAAGAAAGGGCCCGTAGTCCAGATTCCTGGATCTGAGGAAGAAGGGGACTGGATCTCATCTGCTGCGTCCTTGATTAGGGAAATTTCAGAGCCTGTATTCCTGGGCCCTCAAGAGACAAATCTATCGGGGGACGGTGGAGGTCTTCAATGTTGGCATGCCTGGAAGAGAAAGAGGCTGATTTGTGAGTGTCTGGGTCTGAGGGAAGAGAAAGCTGGGGGTGAGGGTCCTGAGAAAGGGCTCAAAACGGCGGAAGCTATGACCCAGACTGCCGGCTAGGCCCTTGCATGGGGTGGGACTCCTGGAATCTCTAGAAGGCGGGGGCCTGGCGCTGGCTCCCACCCGGGGTTCCGGAGCTGCTCCAGTCTGCGCAGAGCTGCCACGCTATTGTCCTGGCTAGGAAGGCGGGGCCGGCGTGGGGCGGGGCTGGCGGCGCAGGCGCAGCCCGGGGGCGGCGGGAGGAGGCGGCGGCGGCGGCGGTGGCGCTGGGAGCTCCTGTCACCGCTGGGGCCGGGCCGGGCCGGGCCGGAGTGCAGGGGACGTGAGGGCGCGAGGGCCGGGACATGGGGCCCACTAGCCCTGCCGCTCGCGGTCTGGGCCGCCACCCGGGCCCGCCGCCGCTGCCGCTGTTGCTGCCACTATTGCTGCTGCTTCTGCGCGCGCAGCTCGCCGTCGGGAGCCTGGCCGGTGGGAGCCCCGGCGCGGCCGAGGTGAGGCCCGGCCGGGTCCTGGGGGATGGGGGAAGGGGCGGGACCGGGCCTTGGGCCCGGACGCGGACGCGTCCAGGGCAGAAAGCGCAGTCTTTCCGGCCAAGTGGTAGGCCCCCATGCGTCCCTAACGGCACTAGGCATTCATGAACCCAGGGGTTCAGGTCCCAGTTCCCCCATCTTCTGTCCTCCCAGCTGCCTCCCGCCGCTAGCTTAGGAACTGGCTTTTCCAGAGCCGTGGTCCCAAAAGCCCAGCCCCCTCAGACCCTCTCGACCTAGGTGAGTCAGCCCCAACCAGACAGGACCCACCAGACAGTAAGACACCTGGACCCAAGAATCTTGGCCCCTTACATCCTCTGGACATATTTGAGGGCCCCCTCAGCCTCCCAGAACCGAGGAGTCTAGGTCTCCAGACACCGACCCCCGACCCAGGATGTAGCTTTCCAGCCCTCAAAGGACCTGGTGCCCAGGCCTGCAGGGCCCTGAAGCCAGGCCTTGTCGTCTTTGCACCGGAGAATAGGACCCTGAGCTAGGGATGGTGGGAGGAGGGGCCAGAACGCCTGGGTTCTGGCCTCCTCCCCCGCGATTCAGTTTTAACCCCTTCGGGCTCCAGTGCGGCTGCGCCGGGGTGGGGGCGGAGCCTGTCTCCGCGGCAACAAGGCCGCGAGCCTCTCGGGGGACCTGGGTCGCCATAGCAACGGGAGAGCTGCGGCGCCCCCGCCCAGTGGGAGCTGTTTCCCGGGGAACAGTACCTCTAAGGAGGCGGGTGCGCGGTACTTGGTGCTTAGGAGGCGGGTGCTGGGGTTCTGAACCTCCGGGTCCTAAGGAGCAAAGATCTGGGGGACACACGTGCCAGCGTCCCTGGGCCCTCTCTGACCCCTCTGACCCGACCCTCAGGCTCCAGGGTCGGCCCAGGTGGCTGGACTATGTGGGCACCTAACTCTTCACCGGGACCTGCGCACCGGCCGCTGGGAACCAGACCAACAGCGCTCACGACGCTGTCTCCGCGATCCGCAACGGGTGCTGGAATACTGCAGACAGGTGGGCGGGACCTGCTGGGAGGGGCGTGGTCCGCAGCAAAACGGTTCCGAGACTGTCCGGATAGCCCAAAAGAAAGAAGCTAGTCGTGCAAAAGGCATGGTCCAGGGAGAATGAGAGATCTAAGTAGTCAGGGGAAGCTAGGGGGCGTGGCTGAGAAAGAGGCGAATTTAGGATAGGGCAGGACCTGTTTTTGAGAAACTAGGGCAGGAAAGGAGAACTGTGCAAAGAGGGTCAGCTAAGAACTATATCCAGTGAAGAGACAGTTTAGCAATCTGTGGTAGGTACCTTAAGGAGTAGGGGCACAGGTGGGCGTGGTCAAAGGAGAGGCGGGGCTAAGAAAAAAGACCTTTTGGACCTGCAAGAGAGTGGAGCCCAATGCGAGAGTGGAAAGCTGGGAGGTGTAGCTATGAAAAGCCAGTTCTAATACAAAGAGAAGGGATGCTTACTGAGAGGCCAAACAGAGAAAACGGTGAGGCTTAAAAGGAGGGCGGAACCTATTGGAGGAGGGGACAGAGGTGACCAGAAGAGAGGCAGGTTTACGGGGATTGAGTTTCTGGGCAGATGGCGGGGCTTCTGAGGGAGAGCTACTGGGGGCGTGGCCAAGGAGCTTGCTGGCTTAGCTACCGAGTCTACCGAGAAGCAGAACCTAGGGAGATCACTAGAGCCTTGTAAAGGGACATGGCCAGTGGAGAAGCACAGCTGGCAGGGGGCGAGGCTGTGGGCTGATCACTCTCACCCGCTGCCCCCAGATGTACCCGGAGCTGCAGATTGCACGTGTGGAACAGGCGACACAGGCCATCCCCATGGAGCGCTGGTGTGGGGGCTCTCGAGGTGGCCGCTGTGCTCACCCCCACCACCAGGTTGTGCCTTTCCAATGCCTGCGTGAGTCCCAGGCTGGGGGCAGGGAACAGAAGTGGGGGTTTCCCTGGGGTGAGATTCTGAGCCCTGGTCTCAGGCTCATATTAGGAAGCTGGATGCATGCCTGGGTCCAGAGTGGGGCAGAGAAACCTCTGAGGATGAAATGTCTGGATTCTGAAGAGGGTAGAGCTAGTGTCTGTGGGAGAGTCTCACTCTGGTGCCCCCACTCTCCAGCAGGTGAATTCGTGAGCGAGGCCCTGCTGGTGCCTGAAGGCTGCCGGTTCTTGCATCAGGAGCGCATGGACCAGTGTGAGAGTTCAACTCGGAGGCATCAGGAGGCACAGGAGGTCAGGAGCCTGGCCCATCCATTCTCACTCCCCAACCCAGGAATCCAGTCCCCTAACAACCCACCCCCCCTCCCCAAACCTGACTCTGGGCCTCAGCCCCCTCTTCCCACTGGGACAGAATCAGGAATCCAGGCCCCCAGTCCCATCAGCCCCCAAGACCCAGGCATCCAGGCTCCCTCTCTACCCTCTCCTAGCCCACAATCCTGGCATCTGGGCCTACTCTTCCCGCAGGCCTGCCGTTCCCAGGGCCTCATCCTGCATGGCTCGGGCATGCTTTTGCCCTGTGGCACGGATCGGTTCCGAGGTGTGGAGTATGTGTGCTGCCCCCCTCCAGTCACCCCTGATCCATCTGGGACAGCAGTTGGGTGAGTGGGAAGGAACCCTCCACGCCTATCCCAAGGCTCCTGAAGCAGGAAATGGAAGCCTGGGGGCCTGGGTCGTATTCTCACTGCCTCAAGTCTTCTGTTCCCTCAGTGACCCCTCCACCCGGTCCTGGCCCCTAGGGGGCAGAGTAGAGGGGGGTGAGGACGAGGAAGAAGAGGAATCCTTCCTACAGCCAGTAGACGATTACTTCGTGGAGCCCCCACGGGCTGAAGAGGAAGAAGAGGAGGAAAGAGTCCCACCCTCAAGCTCCCATAGCCCTGCAGGGTTCAGCAAAGGTGAGACTGTCTCTGAACTCTTAGTTCCCTCTATCCTGGAGGGAGGATGATTTGAGGGAGCCTTGGTGTAGAGGCATCTTTGGGAGGGACCTGTTGGGGAGAGACCCAACTGGGGGGAATGGAAGGGATGGGAGTAACACTGGGTAAAGAAGAGGTGGAAGGGCTGTCCTGTGCAGAATGCAAAGGGTGAGGGTGGCTTGGGGGTACCTGAAAGTGGAGGAGCCATCTGGTAGTTCCTAAGGATTATTTTGGGGAAGCTTGAAGGATGGTGTAGATTTCTAAGCTTTGCAAGAACATGCCCAGTTCAGAACTATATCTCTCATGATGCCCTGCACCATCTATGGTTAAGTAGACACATGGTGGTCTCCAGTGTGCTCTAGGAAATGTAGTTCTCCAAGAAGGGAGGGTAACCTGAAGATGGGCTTCAGACTGATTCCCCGGTTCCTGGCCTTGCAGTGACCACCACCGCAAGGCCCACAGATGGTGTGGACGTGTACTTTGGCATGCCTGGAGAAATCAGCGAGCATGAGGGTTTCCTGAGAGCCAAGATGGACCTGGAGGAACGTAGGATGCGCCAGATTAATGAGGTGGTGATACTGGGGCCTCAGGATTTCCCACAACACGGAACTCCCTGGATACCAGGAATTTCCTCAGAGGCACATTGAGACTACCTCCAAAGACTCCCCAAGCCCCCATCCAACCCCTAATCCTCAACACCACCTCTGGGATGACCAGGGATCCCTGACCCACCTAGAATCCCACTGAGATGCCAGCAGATTCTATGGAAACTCTGGTGAACTGCATTCTTCCACT